TTAATATTATTATTAATATTTTTTTTAAGAAAGATAACAGCACAGTATTAACTAAATGAAATTAATATATGTGTGTAATTATATAATTTTTATATATTAATAAAACTATAATTTTACAATTTATTTATTTTTTTTTATTTAAAAATATTATTTCTTTATTTTAGAATTTCTATTTCGATCTATATTAAAAATAAAACGACACACCAATTAAGAAATCTTGATTCAATATATTCTGGACGCTCCCTACGACTACGTATAGAATTATAATTTCCATAGAAATTTCAACCTAACCTCATTTTAAAAAAAAAACTTTATTTTACACTATCAAATTATAGAGTTTAAATTATTAATATAAATAAAATAAGTTTTTAGTAATATATATAAAATTCTTTTGTATAACAATTAAGCTATATTTAACTATAATTATATTGCAATAAAACATGTCTACAGTCAATGTCTGGCAATGCTGTACCTACAACCGCTATTTAGCTGCGTAGCTAACGGTACCGCCATTTTGTGTACTTATATTTGCGCATTTTACTATTGCGCAAAGGAATAGAATAACTTTTCATAAATAATGAATTAAAAATATTTACAGTACTTACGTTTTTGCGATGATAATATAATTGACATAGTGGACACTGATGGGGGTTTCTTAAAATCAAAGCTTGTAGTTTAACATCAAATTTACTAATATTGCTATTGTCGGCCATTTTAATTTAACAGTATATTCTTTAACAGTATATTGTATGCAATATATTAGTATTCTTCGATAATTGTTCAATAAATGACTTGTTTTAAACGAAAATTTACAACGTTAGTATTAAAAAGTGTTTAAAAAATAAAATGATTCCACAGATTTATTTCACGTTTAGAAAACACAACCACTTTCGTACTTGGCAGTAGTCGAAATGAAGGTTATAAGCAAGCAATTTGTTGTCAGGCAAAAAAATTAGGCTTTCGACTTCGAATACTACACTGTTATATACTATATGGAGGTTTGCCGCGATTTCGAATAAGCATTTACTACTTTTTTGTAATTAGAAAATGATGCATTTAAATTAAATATTATTATTGAATATTTAAATACATAATTCATGATATGTTTATAATTAATTATTAATGTTACATTTGCATAATAAATTATTATATATATATATAATTATTAAAAACAAATTGTATATATAGTTTACATATTAGTATACATATTAAAAATTGTAAAAATAATTAGATTATATAAAACTTTTAATAGTATAGTAATACCAGGGATTATTGAAAGATATAGATGGCTAAAGTAAACAAAAAATTTGTAAAAAATTTTTAAAAAGATTTTGATTAATTATATTCTTCTGCTGGAAGAAAATTAAAAATCAAATTTCTTCTTTAAATACTCTCCATCTCATTTAATGGCACTTAATAGGGTAGAAGAATGTAGATGCGATCACGTTCATAAATAATGCATGCTAGGTTTATGTATGAATAAGAAGTAACTAGGGGTCAACTGGTTCCAATGTGTTGCGAAATTTCGGATAGGGCACTAATTCAAAAGAGAAAGATTGAATAATATCATTTAGCTATGAAAAAGATCATATTAATCCGAGTTCAGTTAAGTCATAACTATTTGCAAAAGTCAATCCTTTTTGTCCGAATAATAAACGAAAGTCTGAGTACCTCTTCTCCATTATAAAGTTGTCTTTATGTTGCCTATACCGGCCATTTAAAAAATATTCAGTGTCATGGTTGGAGTAGAGACACCAAGGCAAGGGTTAGGTTTTGTAAGACTTCAAAGGTAAAAAATTACAATTTAAGGATATGATTACAGCAGTGAGGACAAAATATTCAGCCACGAATTTGTTGCTAATATTATTACTTTTGAACAAAGCTAGTTATATTTTTCCACCAACGAAAGCTAACAATCCAAATGGATGATATATTTGTTTCATGATGTGACACCATAAAGCTGTATTAATAACGTAAATCTATTAACATTAAAAAGGAATCCAATTGCAATAATGAATTCATCAAATATTCTATAAGTTGTAGTGGTTAGAATTATATTGTTCGAATATTGGAATCCCCAATATTATTGAATGGAAAACAAATTGGTAGGCACATAATCCCTGGTCCCTACCAAAAGAAATTACATTGGCATTAGACTTGTTATTAAGAGATTAAAAAACATTAATAATTATTATAATATAATTTACATTAAAATAAAATCTTGTATTTGTTCAAAAATATAGAAATAACAAAGGAAAAATATAAAATTAATTATAAACATAATTTAGAAATATTTTTTTTGATATATAACTCAATTCTTAACACGATAACATTATTTATTAGCAATTATATTGGTCTCTGTTGATATATGAATTATTTTTAAAACTTATACACACGCGCAAATGCACCTTTGCGGTGTTTCAGTTTTATGTTCGAATTATGTGCTTAGCAGCCATCATCATAACTTGTTGTCTCTTTCTTTAATAAAAAATTTATTTTGAAATATTTTAGTTATAAAATCAATTAAACCAGCTATTTAATATTTATAACTTTTGTTTCAATTCCCTAAAACTAAAGCAATTGTGAAATTGTGATTTACTTAATTAATTATTTAAATATTGCTATTAATATAATTATGTTAAGTATTGTTTTGTCTCTTTCTATTGAGTTGCGTTGTTCGAATTTAGTACAGTTAGCGGTATAAAAAAATTAGAATGCTGCCACATAATTGATAATTTTTTTGTTTTAAAAACAAACTGAAAGTAATTGGAGTTACTTATAACAATTATTTTAATAACAATATAAGATTTATATTAAAAAGCAGTATTACATTTACCGATTTCATCATTTTATGTGAATAAAAAATCCGCAACGACTATATATGTTACATATATTGTAGACATTATTTATACGCATATATAAAAAAATTGAAAAATTTATTATAATAGTTTTTATTATAAACCTTCTCCAAATTTAATACTTTTTCCGTAGGGAGCCAGAGAGTTATACAAAAAATTTTCTTTAGCTCTTTACCAAGATAGTTAGTTAATAGTTAACATGAGAGATATAACGTGATAACATGATAGTACCAACTCTTGTGGAGGTAACAATTCTGAAATATTCTTTGTTCTTTCGTGGCATAACATTGGACATAAGTCAACATTTTACACGTAATTAATGTCTTTACTAAGATTGTGTTTTCATTGCAATTTAATAAATAATAAAGTATTTATCTAATATTTCTCGCAAAAAGTCTCTATCTTACTGCATTGACCATAACAATCAGCTAACGGGTTTCGGTCAAATGCAGAACTTCGCTCCAGACACCTCTGCTGCGTGCTCACCTTCTCCAGTCTCGTGACAGTGTACCTCTGCGCCTTCTTTCTTCGATTAACTTTTCAAAGACATCTTTCCTGAAGCTAGCGAAGCCGGTTAATTTGCTGAATTATATCAATATCATGATAAAGGCCGTATAGCTTGTAGTTCATTCGGATGTGATAATCGACGCTGACTCTTACAAGATCAAAGAGCTTACGAAGTACTTTTCTATCAAAAATCTTTCTATCTTTTCTTTTATTAAAAATAATACATTTATTCTTCATATTTCATTTCAAACAATAAAAAATTTTTTTTTTCAAATTTTATATTTAAATATATGATTTTCATCAACTAATTTCATTATCTTTTTTATACACAACGAAATAAAATAAAAATATAAAATTATGAACAACAACTAAGTAATTCGTATATTATTATAAAAATATACTTTTATAGAAATGAAATTATATTATATTATATAAAAAAAAAATAACTTTAATTTTAAACTAAATTAGTACTAAATTTATACCTCATAAACAATTTTGCTTACAATTATGTTTTAAATATATATATTTATATATATATAAATTATTAAAAGGTATATTAATAATATTAAAGATTCGCAGCAAGGTTTGTAACAGAAATTAGTATACATAGATTTGTTTATGAAACAAATAAATATATGTGTTGTTGTTATTACGATTAAATATTAAAAAAAGGATATTATTTTTAACAAAACAAAAATATATTTACTATAAAAAATTAATAAAAAAAAATTAATTTAAAAAAGATATGAAGATTTTAATTGCAACTTCAATTGATTTTGATGATACAGTTTTTCTCTTCTTTTAGTGAGAACTCTGTTAATATTATATTTGAATATAAACTTATATAGCAACCTTTAATTAGCAATATATTTATTTTAAAAAACACAAATATGTATAAATTAATTGAAAATTAATATAATAGAATTATAAGACCAGCTTATACGGTTACTTTAATTTAGTTGTTTTTATATATGTTATGTTTTTTTTTAAATTATAATCAATCAATAGATATAATTCTAATAATTTTAACAACGTAACAAGTTTGTAAAACAAAATAGATTCTACTGAAGCAAAATTTAATTATTTTTGAATTAGTCTAAATTCTTGGTTTAATAAAATATTTATTTTTATACATCACTGTTCAGCACTGATCCACAAATTTTCAATATTTATTCTAATAGTATCATATACTTAACATTAATTTCTTTAAAATGCTTAAATTGAATAAGCAAAAAACTGAAAAAGAATATAAATCAATCGATCTGGCTGGCTTTAAGCCATGCGTAGACCAATTGCAATTGGTCCCTAGCGACACCAGATAGAACTAAGCTTACCTACATTTTTTAGAAGGCGCTTTTTTTTACTCATCTAATGAGTGCTTGAAGCTCTATAGCCGAAACAACACCAACAAATCTTTTTTAAGGTGTATTTTTATATCAGACCATAGTAGAATTTAAGCGCAGCCCCGTGTATCATAACAGAACTAATGAATGCATTGTGCTATCAGGGCGGTCAATATTAACCAATGGCTCTTACATAAAAAATTTAAACAATTTTTAGTTAATATATCACAATAATTCTGCTTTATAAGGCCGAAATAAACCTTGCTTCCTTTAGGACAAACTGCATCGACAAATTTAAATTTTAACGGTTATGCGAATAATATAAAAAAAAATGAAATAATTGTTAATAAGAAACAATATCTAATTAAATTACTAAAGTTTTCTTAAAAAACATTTCGTTTAATTCTATAAATACATATTTTTAATTAGTGCTTTAAATATTATCTCAGTTATTCGAAGTTTTGAGCATTTTCTCTAGTATTTGGCATTCTAGTATTTATTTAAAAATGTACGAATATTCGATTAAGTATTCGAACATCTAACGCATGTACCATCTAATTCGAGTAGACTCGAAGTAATCTTCGAACGGTTTGAAGCACTAATTTAAATACAGTATATCATATATGATATTGTTTTAACTAATATTTAATATTCTTATAAAAAAACATTAGAATAATAACTTATAAAATACACCCACTCCCTCTCTTTCACTTCGTATATAAATCATTAAATTTTTTTAATGCGATATGATTTTTTAGATTTTTTATATTATTTAAATACTTTTAAAATATTCCAAATTTCTATATTTTAGAAATTAATATAATATAATTATTTTATTGCTTGATTGTTTTGAGTTCATTTTCTATTAATAATATCTTTGTTATTTAAATAAAGGCTTTTGTGTATTTTTTAATAAAAATAGTTACCAAAATTGTTACGTTGTTTCTAAAAGAAGAGTATAATTTATAACAGTTTAGCTTAATTAAATTATTGTTCTTAGTTTTTATAAAATATTTGCTATTCAGCCTGCTGAAATAGACTTTATACTAAACTGTTTTTAAGTTAAAGTGCAATTATAACTATATAAGTATTTCAATTTGCTTTTCTTGCATTTATAAATAAAACAATAACAAAATTATTATATATCCTATGTACCGTTTTTGACATTATTTGAATTACTTTACAAAAAAAAAAAAACTAAAAATTATAAAGAATTTAAACTGAAATAAAAATTGATATAATTTATAATTAAGTTCATATATTAACATAAATTATAAAACATAAAAAATTATTATACTTTTAATTTGTTATATCCCTTCAAAAAAAAAAAATTTACACAACAATACATATATTTTTAAAATTTTTGTTTTCTTTACAATTGGCTGCGTTTTAAAATTGTTTTTAAAGTATCTAACTAATTAACATATTACAACTTTCATTTCATTTACATAAAATTGAATAAATTATTAAAAAAAATTACCTTATATTATTTGTTTTTAATATGTATATATACATATAAATGTATACAATTGTTTTATATGTAACTATGTATATATAGTATAAAATGTAATCATAGTAATATGACTAAATATATTTTGAGTTTATAATTTTATTATCAGTTCATTTGTTTTATTTATTTTTAATATTATTAAAATCAAATAGTTCAACATAGTTAAGTGTTGCCCACCAATAAATTAAAAGGTTTCCTCTTATTAATTTTTATAAACCTTTATATTTGTATTATTTTTGGCAATTAATTTCACTAATTTTAAGAAAGAATAAAAATTAATAAAATAAGCTATTAACATAAGTTTTTATTATTTAAATATTTAAATTAAAATTATAACTAAAAATACAATTTTTTTTATATTACAAAAATTCTTAGTTTGTTTTTTTTTTTAACAAAGTTTTCCATTTTTTAAGCGGTGGGTGTTTATTTTTCTAATTTTTGTTATTAAAGATTTTGTTATAAAAAATAATATAATAATGTTTGGATAATTTTGTTAAAAAAAGTTTTTGAATTATTTATTTATTTATTAATTTTTTTGCGACAATTTCATTAATTCACTTATGAGTACAAAATGGAAAAACGTTACAGTACTTAAATGTATTGAATTATTTAAATTGACTATAAATGTTGCAACTATGTGCACTTTTTAAAAGAGTACAGGTACCGCCTATTCCATTTGTACATGCGGTACACAAAACTGTTGTGTATCTACCTCTGTACATGCATACCATATACGTTTTTAATCAAATAAAAATAACTATTTATAATCCGCTAAACCATCTGCACCCTACCTATTATGCTGTAGTTTTTTGTTTCATTTTGTTATTTTAATATACTTATACATAAACCGGGGATTGATCATCCATCATATCAGGATTAAGTCTATCATCAAAAAATCTTCTAAATGTAAATTCGAAAAATCCATGGAACTGTTTATCTGCTAAATTAAAATCATCACCGCTTAGATTTGAGTCATTCGAACGTATTTTATCCTCATCAATGGGATCGAAATTTGATGTATCTGTTGGATGTTCAATCTTTGGAATATATGGTGCAATTTGTCTACGCATATCCGCAAAATCGACGCCTTTGAAAAAATCATGCGCTTTTACCTCGTCCGCATTTTTACCTAAACGTTTATCGGCAGACGAGCATAGACGTTTTATTAAATCTGTTGCTTCTCGTGTTAACATTGGCAACGGCGGTATATTTAATGTTTTTTCCCAATTTATTACCTAAAATATGAAACACAAAAACAAATTATTACCAATTTTTAGTTTATAAATATATTATATTTTACCTTTTGCTGCGTTTCAACAGGCGTATTTGCTAAAAATGGTGGCTGACCGACCAACATTTCATAGAGTATAACACCCACACTCCACCAATCACAAAGTTGCGTGTACCCACTACGTTCCAAAACTTCAGGTGCTATATAATTTGGGGTGCCTACAAGTGAATGTGCTAAAACTCTTTGGTGATCACGCATTCTCCTCCTAAAATAAATTTAAAAAATATGATTTTTAGAAAGATACTCTTAAATTGGTACATATAGAAAAAGTTAGGTATCTGGACTTCTGAAGGAACGAAATATTGTGAGAGGACAGTACAGGTTAAGATACCATATCAAAAAAATGGACTTTTAAGAGACCATTATTTGTCATTTTTGTAAAATAGATAATAACGCTTTAATATTGTTCAGATGTAAAGC